CATTAAATAATCTTGTAGTTGTTTACCAAGCAAAACAAGAAAACTTAGTTATATTAATAAAAACAAAATGACACAAACAAATACACCAAACCATAGTTTAAAAATATCTAATCACACAAAGACAAATGAAGAACCCAAAGACCAACATTGTCCATCACCACCAATTCATTATTTTGATTCCCTTTTTTCTTCTATAAATGCCATAAAACCCTTCAATTCCAATTCAACAATCCATAGCCAAAAAATCAAGTTTTTATTTTATTTTATCAATTTACAAAAAGAAAAAAAAATGGAATACAACTGCAAGGATTTTAAAGTGGGAAAATGTGAAGGAGAAAAAATTGTTGATGGTGAAATTATGCCATTAGTTCTAAATCCTATTGAACCAAATAACAAGAATGATATCAATTCATTACTTGAATATTTGGAAAATAATAAGGATTGGTTTGATAATATGATTACAAAAAATAGTGCTGTTCTTTTAAGAGGATTTGATGTGAAAAATGCACAAAATTTTAATGATATTGTTGAAGTATTTGGTTGGGAAGATATTAGATATGTTGGACCAGCACCAAGAACACATATTTACAAGAGAGTTTGGACTGCTAATGAAGGACCCCTTTCTGAATTTATATATTATCATCATGAAATGGTCCTTGTAAGTATATCGTATTATCTGTCTTTTAAGATTTTTGCATATTCATTACTGAAAAGTTATTTTTTCCATTGAAATTTTTCAATGAAAAATGTTCACTGACTATTTCTAGTGAGAGAAAAAACCAATAGTATTTTCACACTGAAAAATTAGAAAGTTTTTTCACTATTTCAATGAGAATCATATTGTCACTTAGCTTGGGCATGGTCTTCAATTTTATTTTAATTTTATATGAAGATGGCTAGACGGCCTAAAAGGGAATTATATTATATTAAACTTGATTAATGATTGGAGGAATACTAAATGAATAATACTTTGTGTTGTCACCTTCCGCATGACACATAATTATTTCGGTCCAAACAGGACAAACCATAAACACTCCAGCTCGTTCTCACTATGTCTCGTGGACATTTGATGCTGTTGTGACGCATAAATTTTAAAAAGTGTTTAGATGATCATTTTGTAAGTTGATTTTTCTATGACATACTTATTTGTTATATACGTAGATAAAGGAATTTCCAAAGAAAGTGATATTGTATTGTGAAATACCACCACCAGAAGGAGGGGAAACACCATTTGTTCCAAGTTTTAGAGTAACAGAAAGAATGATAGAGGAATTTCCAGAAGCTGTTGAAGAAATTGAGAAAAAAGGACTTAAATACACATTTAGTGCTCCAAGTAAGGATGATCAAGGTTCAATGAGAGGTAGAGGATGGGAAGATGCTTTTGGTACTTCTGATCCTATTGAAGCTGAAAAAAGGTAATTTAATCATTTATTATTATTTTTATACGGTGTTCGATATCTGATTTGGAGCTCGATAATTTGAATTTGTGTCTAAAAGTTCCACTTTTGAAGCAGATAGGGGTAAAGCACTAGCTCCTTACAAAAGAAACTAATTTGTGATACTGAAGGCTTGAACTTGAAATTATTGCTTATGACAAGTTATTTTACCCAATATTGGTAAACTTATTATATTGAATATATACAATCATAAAAGTTTGTGAAATTGCCTAAGGTTTGGGGGAAAGAGTTGCTTGATATTTGTGTTAGTGGAAGGCAATCGACGTGTTTGGGATAGAAACACTACTATTATCCAAAAAAAAGAAAAAGACTTTTAACCTTTTGGTTATTCTGTATTTTCTGACTGATTCACATATAAGTCAGTTGGTCTCTAATGTTACGGTAAGTGGCTCTATGACTTTACTTTATAGTGAGGAAAACTCAATAATCAAACGTGAAATTAATTATCCTTCGAAATAACTACCCTATTAAAAAAAAATCTTGATTATAGGGCAAAAGCACTTGGAATGGAAATGGAATGGCTACCAAATGGTGGTGTAAAGACAATCTTAGGACCAAGATGTTTAACAAAAGTATTTGATGGAAGAAAAGGAAGAAGAATGTGGTTCAACACATTGGTTGGAATGTATGGCAAAGACATAAGCTCAGCCATGATGTTTGATGGAACAGAAATACCACAAAACATAGTAAAAAGATGTGAAGAAATAATTGAAGAAGAAAGCATACAATTCAAATGGCAAAAGGGCGATGTTCTTTTCCTTGATAATTTGGCTACACTTCATGGTAGAAGGCCTTCTCTTCCACCTAGGAAGGTCCTTGTTGCTACTTGCAAGTAAATTAAAGTTTTCGAGCTGAGCTGAGAATTTTCACGTGTTTAATTCATGAAAAGTAATAAGATCGTTTGACGAGGTGTGTCGAAAAATAAATTGATCATTTTAAGTTGATATTATTAGAATATCATAATAAGGAATTTAAAGACTTTGGAGATGTATCATTATTCTTCAAGAGTTTATGTATTACAAAGCTTTTGTTTGTGAGTTTGAAATAAAATGTATTACTAAATTTTATAATAAATGAAATATACTTTGAAGATGTGTCATTTTGTTATCTCAACCAATATGCACACCTACTTTTAATTAACTAGTATAAAATCCATTTAAATTTAAAGACTTGTACTAGGATGATGCATTTTTTGGCAATCTATTATCAAAGCAGTCAACCAATTAATTTGTACAAGTGATCTTATGTAAGGCAATCCTTCCATCTGAAGTTTCGAATTTGAGTTCTGAAAGTCAAAAAAATTCTAAAGGAAAGCGTTTACCACTTATTATTTCTTAAACAATACAAATTTGAATTATTCATATTAGTATAGTTAGAACACCATATTATATAACAAAAATATAGAAAATGGAATATAATTTACAACTCAATTGAAGATTTAGAGATAAACAAAACAAATAAACAAAAAAAGAATAAGCAACAAAGAGTTGTATTCTATAGATATCCAAATTTGAATTAATCAGACTAGTGAATTTGAATACGAGATGATTAAAAAAAATATAAGAAATTAACATAACCACAATTAACTTGAAGATTTAGAGATCACCAAAAACAAAAAGAAATAAAAAACTTTTTGTTAAAAAAAAAAAAAAAAAGAGTTGTACTCTATAAATATCCAAACGCAGCCTTAATATTTTCGCGCTATAAATCTTTCAATTCAGTTAATACAGTTTTTTCAACAGAGAAATGCAAAACGAACTTTCAATTTCTGTTGATTCTCACTTAGCCATGCTCCGCCTCAGCTCCGCCGCTGACGCCACTACCGGAAAATTCTCCGGCGACCAATCTCCTCTTCAGCAATGCCATTCTTATCGTTCCGTCAAGAAAATCCCACATTTCTCACCTGAAATTTCCACCACCACCATCGCCGCCGTTGAGACACCTGCCACGTCATCTAAGAAAACTACCCTTTACGGCGGCGCCACCACCACTACCAAGGGAAAGAGACACTCAAACTGTCGTTTCTCTTCTTCTCTGGAAGAGCCCTTTCCAAAAAGAACTGCCACCGTTCTACCACCCATTTCCACCGCCGCAGACGGCGGTTCCGGCGGCACCTACAACATCAATAACAGTAACCATTTCCAAGGTTTCATCAAAATCCCACTTCAAAATAACCAAGAATCTCCGGTGACTCCATCGCCTTCACCATCTCCGGCGAAACCACCATTAGCGCCGCCATTTCCTCGACCCCTTTATCGGACTACCTCAGATCCCACTGGAAAATCCCCTAAACCCCCATCTCACCGTACCCTCACAAGAACAGTTAGCTGGTCACCAAATGAGCTCAATTTCAACAATGGAGAATCTCCTACTACAATGGTTTGTTTGTTTCTAAATCTCGATTTTCTTTCGATTTCGTTAAGTTTTCTTTCAATTTGTTCCTAAATTTTAACTATTTCTGTTTCTTCATTTTGATTTTCCAGAAATCCCCAACTCACTCTGCTGTTGCAAGAACAGCTAGCTGGTCACCAAATGTTCAAGAATTAGGTGGTTCAGTTAACAATGGAGAATCTCCTACTACAATGGTTATACTCCTAAATCTTGGCTTTTCAGTTTCAGTTTCTTTTTCTCAATGTTGGGTGTTTTTTATTGAAAAAAAAATAATCGAGGGTATTTTGAAAACAGTCAAGGTAGTGGTAAGGCGTGTACACTCTACCCTCTCCATACCCAACTTTGTGGGATTTCACGGAGTTTGTTGTTGTTGATTTCAATGGAGATCTTACGTTTTGTTTGCTGTAATATGCAGAGGTTGAAGAGAATGAAAGATGGAATGAGAGAAATGAGACAATGGTGTGACCTTATGATTCAAGAAGAAGAAGAAACTTTCCATGAAGAAAACAAGATTGTAAAGGTATATTGAATTTTTCATTTTCTGTGTTTGCTGGTGTTCTTGATCATCTGTTTAATTTTAAATACTTAGAATTAGTTGAGTTTACTGTGATTAGGGGTTCTTGCTGTTTTGGTTAATGTTCATTATAGAGCAGAAAAGATCTACCTTTTAAGCATTTAGAACTAGTCTTGTTTACTATGATAGGGTTTTGCACTTGAGTGGAGGGTCTTTCGGAAACATGTCTCTCTACCTCCACAGATCCCACTTTTTCATTTACTAATGGATGTTTTTTTCTTGGTTTCGACTAGGATGATGAGATAGATAGTGGAGGAGAAGCATTGTGTGAGGAGGCTGTATGGGTGGAAAGAATGGGGAACTGTCTGATTCTTCATTTCAAGTGTCCTTGTGGTAAAGGATATCAGATTCTGCTATGTGGAAATAACTGCTACTATAAACTCACCAATTTCTGAAACTTTGTTTCACTAAAGAAGGGGACTAATTGGGATCAGATTCACTTAATGATCATACAAGTCTACTTTAGCTGCATATCATTTTAGTCTAATGTGTAAACTTTGCTTCATTCCTTTTGGATTTGTGTATACGTATGCATATAATGAAGGAAATGAAGTATACTTTGGAACCACAAGAATATAAAAAAACTTGTTCAAAGCTGGAGTTGTACAAGAAAATTACTCAAGGAAAATGGGAAATGTCAAATTTTCACATTGCAATCGACAAGCAAATTACATCCAATGACTACAGCCAGCCATTGTGATTGTGAAATTTGCAGCTAGAAAAATGAGCTCTATAGCCCAAGGAAAGAAAACTGAACATACGTTTACAGCCTGAATTTATTCTTCGGAAACGCAGACAAAAGATGCACAAAAGTTACAGGATTAGATAGTACTAACAATATCCTTGCCTAAAAGAGGCAGATATTTGCTTCTAGCTCAACCTTGATAATACACCTATGCTTTTACAAAGTACGGGATGGCACACCACGGCCTCTGCCCCTACCACCACCATAACCATAACCATATCCATTTCCATTCCCGTTTCCGTTTCCATATCCATATCCATATCCACCTCCACCTCTTCCATAATATGAACCTCGAGAACGTCCACCACGTCCAGGACCACGACCACCCCGGCCGCCCCTGTATCTTGAGAAATCTCCGAATGTCTGCACCCATCAAACAAGATTAGTTTCTTGAAGAAGAACCATACTTGGGAAAGTAGAGCATAAGAATCAGATATACCTCAACATCTATCTTCCTTTGCTCGGAGAACCTGGTCCTTCCATGATTTGAGTCATGGTCAAGTGCATTACTTGACAAAGAGTCGAAAAAGTCATCCTTATTGTAAACAGGCTGCAGGAAAGAAAAGGTAGATTAAACACAACACACAAAACTAGTACCAAAATTCATGGTCAAGGGTATGCATTAGAATTGAGGTCGAAGAGAATTTAAGTAAATACCTGGACATCAATCTTAGGAAGATCATCCTCATATTCGTTGTAAGAGATATCCTCATCACTGTCATTTCCATCTCCTTCTCTGTTACTTTTGCCAAGATGGCCCCATACTTCATCTTTCTTGAACTTCTCATTCATGGCCATAAAATCAAAATCTTCTTCGAACTTTGTTACTGGTCTAGAAACCTGGCAAGGAAGATAATCAACCTATCTCATTAACTACACCAAGCAAAGGCCAAATCCACTATAAATCACAAGCCCGACCAAAGCAATTCAAAAGTCAATTAACTGAAGGACTGCTCTAATGCATTAAGATTAACCTTAGTAAATCCATTTAAGCAGCGAGTCAAATGATGGAATGCACAAATTATGGACTTAAGACTCATTCTTCAATGTAAGACTACATGAAAATATTGTACGGTAGAGTCAAAATACTGATAGCAAATCCTAGAAAAAAGAAGAACATATAAATATATATATATCGCTAGCTGTCATGTTCACACAGCAGAAACCCGAACAAACATACTAGTTTAGCCAGTATAACAACCATCACAACTGCAAAACAGGGTAAACGACAATGAAACTCGAGCGATCAGACAAAAGTGGGGATCATGTACCAGTCTGCTACTTGTAATCAAACCTACCCACATAACTTGTATCGCCATGCACACTCAAATGCTTGGTGATGCCACCAGAACTAACAACAAATACTAGCAAATCAGTGTTCTAAGAAATACTCCGCCTACAGAGTTCCCTACAATGCATGGATATATTGTGTTAGTGTTTGAATTAACTCAACTAGTTTAAATTGAATGCAAGAATCTTGGACTAATCCCCCTTTGGCCATTCATCAAAGAAAAAGTTCTCATTGAAAGGGGCAGATTTGGAATTTGTGACCTCCATTAAAGGACTTGTAACTCCAGACTGAAACTATTTACAAAGAACAAAATAGATTAAAATATAACACATCAGATGCAGTTACGACTACAATGCCATAAAAATGTATGGGCTGATAATGGCGGCTTAAATATGCACATAATTCATTACCCCCATTCCTCTTCCACCACGCCCTCTGTAGTTGACATAACGCGGCTGATATGGAGCTCCATTTGTCTAGAAGAAAAGAAAATGAAAGAAGATTATTAGCTTCCCAAACAATATCATATGATTTTGCCACCACATCATTGTGAAGAACATCACCAGTCTTTCCCTTTTTATTCTGGACGGGTCTAATTTTCTTGCTAATGATCCATGATGAAGAAATGGAAGCAATAAAGGGAAAAGAATAGAGGCATTCAGAGCAGTGCAATGTTAAGAATGATTAAAAAATTGGTCACTAAAAGTATTTTTCATAACCAAGCAGCTCCTAAATATTCAACACGCTCCGGCATAAGTGTAAGCATCAAATACAGTCAAGGTAGACAAGAATTATTACTATGTCACTCAAGTGAATCCTCACCAGAATTCTTTCTCTTAATGAACTTCCTTCATGAGTCTAATTTTATTCTTTAAAATAGATTCTTTTTTTTGCTTTTTGTTTTTGAGAAATGTAACAGTTAGTCTATATTTATCCACAGGTATACTACCTCAAAAGTGTAGTTCCCCTCCAAAAACAGATTCTTGATAAAGAGATAGCAGCAATAAAACAGAAGTAGAAGTAAATGTACCAAGAGGACTACAAGTAAAGATTGACAGGAAACTGGACACCATATTAAATACAATAACCATGGTTATTGTCTAGAGCAGACTGCATAACAACCTTATAGAGGCATCTAGCCAAATTCACCCGATGTTTTATAGAATTATCTCCTTCTCTCACTATGATAAATAAACAAACTATCAAATCAAAAGACTTCATTAATATTTGCCAGAAAAGGCAGTTAAAAAGTATGCTAACTAAGTACTTAATCAAGTATTCCAACTTAATTACAGATAGCCCCCTTAAGTCGCAAGCATCCGCTATTGATTTTTTTCAAATTAAAAGTTCAAAAAAGATGACAATACCTTGGGTAATAGGATTTGATTAGCCTAATATTGTCCACACAGGGAAGATCAAGAATGCAAAATAAATGAATTAAGTAGATAAAATAACACTTGGTAATAGAATGAATAATCGTAAAAGAGCACCTTCTGCACACGCGTCTGGGATGGTAATGGTAATATTGGTGGCTGAGCTTCTGTTTTAGCAGGGGCTGGAGGTTCTGAAGATGGTGCAGGCAATACTTGAACCACTTCTACATCTCTTTGAGATGTCTGCATAGATTGAGTTGATGGAACATCAATTGGTCCAGATTGCAGCAGCTGCCCTGGAGTTATCAGCGACGGTGTGGGTGTCTCCACAATAGTAGATACCGATTGAGACAAAGCTGGGCTAGGTACTGGATTAGGTTTATTAGATACTGGCAGAACAACGGGATTTACATCAGGACTTGTTGACAAAGGAGGCAAAGTCGGTAAACTAGCACTTAATGTCGAAGTGGGCATAGCAGAAACAGAAGCCTTCTTTGAAATTGCACTGGATATTGTTTCAGTCACAGGTACCACAGGTTGCAGCGATGGCACAGTTGAAGGCAAAGTAGCAGCAGGTAAAGAACTAGAGGTTAAACTAGTAGTTGTTGGCATCAATGAAGAAGGGTATTCTGGGAAGTTTGGCGCCTGTAGGCTTGATCCTCCAGTTGGCAAAGACGAATTGAAACCAGAAAACTGCATCTGCGGCATGGAAGGAGGCATGGCAAGTCCAGGAGGAGGACGAAGCAAAGATTGTTGCTGCATTTGTGGTAATCCATTGGGTGCACCATAAAAACCTTGCCAATACATTGGCATAGCAAGTCCACCAGCACCGGCATTTGGAGGGGGAGGAGATGGACCCCAAGATCCCATATTACCTCCAGGTTGATACAAAGGCAGGCCACTTTGGAATGTTGAGCCAGGATGTCCCGGCTGTGCAGAATGGGAACTTAGATCAGTCAAAGATCCACCAACAGCAGCAGGTAAACTTGCCGATGTGGTAGGTGGTCGAGGATAGTGAGACTGGAAGGTTGGTTCAGAGGAATTAGAATTCAATCAAAACATAATAATAAGCATTTGTGCAATTTCTTTTTACTTACCTGTATAATAGCTGGGTCGTTATTTATAGGTGGTGTAGGTTGAAGAGGTGGCGAAGACTTAACTTGTAAATCCTGCAACAAGCAAAACACTTTATTGAAAAGCTGGGCCAATGCAACTCATCTATGAAACATTAATTGTGCAAATATAAAGTCTGCATTTAAAGATACCGACCTGACATGCAAATATATCCAATATGATGCACGGTATGATTAATAATTTTCCTCTCAGCCTCACCCTTTTTGAAAAAACTAAAACTTTTTCCCACCCTTTCCTTGAGTATTCTTACTTTCATCCACGAAAATCCTCTGCCTACCTCTCATGTTTCTCAATTATTAGGTACCACTTTAAGTAGGGAGACCGAGCTTTATACTTTAAATTCTCAGGTTGCTGAACAAGTATATCTAGCTCTACATTTTGACCAACAAGATTCCTCAACTAATGCCAACTCAAAATGCTACAAAGGAAATGACTTATAATGAATATCAGTGCACGTGGCCTCTTCTTCACTTCTCCATAGAATTGCTAATCCGATAATCACATCAAAAGGATATCGGCACTATCATATTACCTAAGGACCACGCTAAAAAACAAAAACTCGGACTTAAGGGTCATTTAACCAAATGTAGCGGCTACATAGTGTAATGAACTTGTGTCTTGACCACAAAGATCAAAAGAAAGGTAAGAGCTAAGAAGAAAAACAAGTCTAGGCTTTTATTTAATGCCTTTTGTCTTTCCAACATCAACCCCGAAGTTAGGTTCTTCATATAATGGAGAAAATTGCATATCTCAGAGTACCATAAAACTGAAGAGAAGCTTGCTCCAACTTTTGAAATAAGCTTTTGAACAATTAAAACACTAGAAACTCTTTGAAGATATAAATGGACTTAAAACATCTACCGAACTATTAACTAATAAATAAAAGGAGAGAGATCTCATAGAACCAACAAAACAATGCCAGGAACTACATGAAGGCATTTCAGTATAACAAGCAACCAAAAAACATAAAATCCCATAGCAGACTAAGGTCAGAGCATATTACCTTGATATCACTTCCACGAAAAAGTATGTATTCATAAGTCTTGTCACTTGGAGGTACTTGAGGCCCATCCTTTTTTCTTCCCTCTGTTCCAAATGATCTTACTGCAATGACAAATCATAACCAATTGCCAATCCTGTAAGTCACTTTATACTTTCATTGAACACATTGTTAATAACAAAAGTTCAACCTAGAAAACACTATCATGGTATAAGTGCAATAAAACTCAAATTTGCTAAATTTTCCAATCTTTCTCCTCCTTTAGTTGGAGTGTTGGACAAAGCTTAACCTTTTTGCTTGACTTTCAAAATAGCTTTACCCCATCGCCATATCAATATCATGATAGTTCAGAAAGTAGGGCCATAGACATGATTCAATGTAGGGATTGATTTCACAATGTCGCTTTGAATTTGTGAAACAACAAATACACATAAAAATTAACTTAGTTCCAATTTTTCTCTGCAATAAATTATATTAACTGACCATCACAAGTTCAATTTTGTTACAAAGAAAGCAACCACCTCCCTGATACAACTTTACAGCAATCATGTTAATTCTTACTAAGGTCCCAACTTTATATGCTCTCAATTCTACATGCATGAGCACATCCTTACACGAACACACTCAAAAAAATACAAGAAAACAATTCTCAAAAACTCATCAAAACACCTAATTTAGATCATTTTTGCTCTGAGAACAATAAAAATCTCAGCTTCCTATGATCTTTAAGTGATTCATATAATCAGTAATGGATTTTTTTAAAATATCGAAATCACCAAAACATATAAAATTAAGAGATAAACCAACTAATGTACTAATATAGTACAATAACCCAACAAAACACATCAAAGCTCATAATTCAATTCAAGCTTCCTATTAAACAGAAAAAAAACTAAAAAGGAAAAATCTCAACTTTCAATAGCTTTGAAAACAAAGCACATAATTTAACTCAATTTTTCTCCTAAAACAGAAATGGAGAAAAAGCTTTAAAACTTCATTTTTCAACCAGCTTTGAGGTAAGCAAGTAACATCACCTAAAAACACAAAATCAGCTAGATAAATCAATCATCAATCAAATCAACAAGGATCTAACTTCAAAAAATGATAAAATCACCAAAATTAATAGGAAAAAACTCATTTTTTTAAATCAGCTTTGAACAAAGCACATAATTCAACTCATTTCCTCTCTTCAAAGCTAAAAATTCTCAATTTTCAACTAGCTTTGCCTAACTCCTAAGCAAGCAACATCACCAAAAACATCAAAATAGCTGGATAAATCAATCATCAATCAAATCAACAAGCATCTAACTCCATAAAAATCACCAAAATTACACTAAAATCAACAGATAATTCAAAAAAAATCCGGATAACAAATAAACAAATGAAATACCATTGCGTAGACCGATACTGGACTCATCAGTGTTGATGTTATAGAGAATGCCTTCATACCGGATCTCACTCTTCGAAGTCAAGCTAATCAAACTACCGATGTACGAATCCGCCGACGATCCACTAGATCTGGCCGATGAACTCTCCGCCGCCATAACTGTTACTAAATCTCCACTGAAAAACTCATATACCTGGAAAAAATCTAGAGAGAGAAAGAGAACGGAGGATGAGAGAGAAAGAGTTGACTAGTTGAAGATGATTATTGTGTGTAGGGTTTTTTCGTATTTCTAATTTTCTACGGCGTTTTATATTTCTTTTTTTTCATGTAATTATCGAATTTTTTTAAAGAGCTATCAAGTCTTGTACATTGTGTAAGGTGGATTGTACCTTCTGCTGCTTTTAAAATTGGATTTTTTTCTATTTTTGGAGTAAAAATCCGATATGATACATGGGTGAATTAAGACCTGATACGTAGAAAGAATAGATCGAAAATTACTCAATCATGATATATGGATGAATCATGAATCGATACGTGACAGAAAAAATAAATCGTAAAGACTCAATCAGGATACAGGAATCACGAATCGATACGTGGCAAAAAGGATTAAATTGCAGAAACTCAACCATGATATATGAATATGAATGATACGTGGAAGAAAGGAAAAATCGAAAAAACTCAACCACGATACATGAATGAATCATGAACTGATACGTGGCAGAAAGAACAAAATCGAAAAGGCTCAACAAAGATGATTTCAAATGTTATTATCAAAGTGTGATCGAAAAAGGGTAGATAGTGTCATCTCAAGAAAATTTGTCTAACTTCGGAAGTATAGGGATCGAACATTAGATCGTGATTGATTAAAATAGGGTCAAAGTCCTAATTAGATATCATATCCGGGTGAATCACGAACCGATATGTAGCAAAAAGAAGAGATTAAAAGTGAAATAATAAAGATAATATCAAATAGTATTCTAAAAACATGATTTAGAAGAATAATTATATTCATGAAAAGATTTGAAGTTTAGATAATATTAATCATGATTAATGTTATTTCAATATAACTCGTATGACTCTAAAAGAACAGGGTCAAACATCAAATTGTGATCGATCAAGATAAGGTAAAAAAATATAGTCATTAGTATGAGATCTTCACCATCTGTGTAATCACTTAATAACTCAACATTATCACATAATATTTAGTTAGTTATTTATCTACTATTCAATTTCAATGTAATCATTTAGCTTATGCATGTGTTACAATGTTAAAAGAGACAAATAATGTCTAATAAGTGATTTCTTTTCATTCGTTCAAGTTTTAGTGAACAGAATTATTTAGTACATGTTACTAACAAAAGATGACAAATGTCTTATGAAGCTAGTTGAGATATGTGCAAGGAGGTCCTAAATATCATAATTATCAAAATAAAAAACTTGTGAATTTTTCATGTTTCAATTGATAAAAGAGATCTTTTACTAATATAAGTGTTATTTAGTGTCCGAATTTAATTTTGCAATATATATTGAGATTTTCCCCTTAAAATACATAATATTTGCACGCAAGCAATATCTAATCCTAATTGAAATCGCGCGAATACCATATCTGATTTTAACAATATGTGTGCATGTATTTTCAAAGCAAAAGTTAGATGTATACATATGTATAAACATCAAATGTATGTGAAGGAGCACTGTTCTGGGCCACATAATGATTTTTTAATGGGCCACAATATCAGGCCCTTGCATATATACATGAACCCAATGAATGATAATTTGAAAACAAAAGCCCAAGAATGGTAACAAAAGCCTCTTTCTGTTCAAAAGAAGGTTTTATGGGATAAAATTCATAAAATAGTCATGATATCTCGCTCTCGGTAACAAGATTGAAACCTATTGCAATAAAAACTTCACTAGTCTAGTAATAATATTCTTGAGTTATCCTCTCCAGCATACAAAGCTATTGTCGAACCCACAATTACCATTGTGGCTCTGCCCCTGATTGGAGTGCTTAGGTTTCTATATGGTAAATATAAATACCTATACACACATGCCACTCGATGTTGATACCAATAACCATGTTAACTCACCATGGTTAACAAGATGATAGTATATATTAACTAACCATAATTAAAGTAATTGAATTTTATGTATAGACACATATCATACGTCAATTGATTTAATATAAACATAGACACCGTGCAGAGAAGTTTAACCCTAGGGAGGTAGTTGAGGGTGTTTTTTAATTGATTTTTGTACAAGTGAAGGGTTTTAAACCCTAGCAACCTTTTTTTAAAAGAAAAAAATCTTACCTGATGTTCAGTATTCTTATTAGAGTCCGATTAAATTTGAATTCGCATCGAGAAGTCCCACATTGGGGGTAAAACACTCCCTAACAAAGACGACTCCATACCCAAGGGGACTCGAATGTGACACTTCTGATTAAGAATGAAAGAATACTTACCACTTCGCCATAACCTTTGTCGATAACACTAACAACATTCATGTCCAAAGCATGATGTCTACTATGTGAGGCCAAAAATGAGAGGGGGGAAAGAGAGAAAATGACTTATCAACTAAATAGGCCTGACTTGCAAAAATTAATGTGGGCTACTCCCCTTTGTATAGCCATTAGCCTGTCCCTCTTCACAATATTTGTGGTCCTAACCATACAAGTTCCCTTCCTACATTAATATATCATGAACCCTTCATCTATAAAGACATAATAACCCCTAAAAACCATAAAAATCAAGTTTGTAATATCTAATTAATAGTAGTAGATATATATTCTTTTTCTTATTTATTGTTTTATTCTTCTAAATTAGAATTTGATGGATCAGTTGTGTTTTTGGTGAAGTATTTTTTCAATTTTAACGAAAAATGTATACATTTTAATTTATATATTTTTCAAATTACAAGTAAAAGAAAGATCTATGTTAAAGAAAATATTTGGGTTTCTAGGTCTTTAATCACTATAATTAGTGACGTTTCTAGAGTCCATGCTCAAAGTAAAAAGTGTTAATCACTTTTCAAAAGATTAAGAGGAAAAAATTGAAAACAAGAAAATTATTGGGGACTATACTGTAAATAGTACTGGGCCCATGTAGGCAAAATTATAAGGACTCTATGTTCATACTACTTCCCTACTCTTACATAATGCTAGTAATATAATGAAATGAATTTACACTCCTTAATTCATATATTTATCTTCATTTTTTTTTTCATATGATGGTAAGTGTATGTATTGAGTTTTCGACTAAATTCATATTCATTCATTGTATAATTCATTTTTGAGATTGATACTTCCAATAAGATTTTTTCTATTTTTGAAAATTTGAATTTAAAATCCTTTTAATTAAGGATAGAGGGATCTCAGCTACCGCACCGATCACCACAAGCCAGATTGGTACATCTATTTTCTTGAATAATTGAAGATCATTATTTATCCTCTTGCCCTACTTTCATTTAAGGAGGGAAAATGAATACTCATAGGTCATAAAAAGGACTCTATTGCAATCATTGCATCAACTTTAAATATATACCAAGTTTTATACACGAAAAAAATAAGTGGAAATGTAAAAAATCATTAGTATTTGTAAATATAATTCTACTATATGGTAATAAATATTGGTTTGATTATAGTTATCCCCTTAAGAGTAAATAAAAACTTTAAAATTATTTAGAGTGTATCATTTAAAAAAAAAAAACATTAAGAAAAATCACTCTTAAACTTGATGCGAATTATTAGTTGCATTTTCGAAGTATTGATTGCTTTAAAACACCCATTACTTGACTAACTGAATTAAATACACCCTCGATTTTGCAACATGAGTGAAATACACCTTAAATTCTCACCTAGTTTAAGAGTGTTTTCAACACTTTTCACGGCTTTTTATTAAGGGTCACATGCTTCTACGTACAAGAGTTTGAGAACATTTGCTATTTATGTAGCAGATTGGTGGTGTATCGAAGTTTAGTTTGTCAAGTAGAGGATATTTTTAAAGCTGTCAATAGTTCGAAGACGAAACTAGTAATTTACGTCAAATTCTTGAGTGTTTTCCATACTTCCTTTTTAAAGAAAATGTCACACAAACTAAGACTAAGAGAGTAACAAAAAAGATGTCAAATTTAATAAGTCAAATTTTAACTGTATTTTTGAGTTAAAATAAAATTAAAGTTTTTAGACTTGGGAAAGTAATGTAAAATATTAAATTAGTCTGAATATTTTGGAATATATTTTTACTAAATCTAAAGCTATGTCAACACAAGATCAAGTTCCAAAAAAAGTAATGGAGCACTTTCTAAAGATTATTGAATTATGTATTGTCTTTTCAATCTGTTAAAAATGTAAATCCAACAACACAAAGGCATTCACCCAAAGACAAAAACTACCTTTGTCTTTCATGCATTTACATGCACCTTCCCTAACATCATGGTCCCCCTAACCTCCAACAAAATCAAGAAAGGTGAAAAAAAGAGTGAAATCCTACCTACTTACTACGTTAGGTAAATTTAGAGACGGATTTATAATTTAAACTTTATGTGTTCGAATATCAAGCTTGACGAGAGAAGAAGGTTGTCGAGATCAATCAATAAGGATAAGATTGTGTATGCTTACCTTCCTAAGACATCACTTATAGAATTACACTGAATTACATGTTGAATTCTTCGTTGAAGTATATGATCATCTTATCAAAATGTTTAAGTTGTTAGAGAGAATACACTTTTATTAGTTAATTATATTCTCAATACGCCCCTCACATTCAAGCCTGATTCTCTTTCACGGGCCAAACACATAAAAATTCTTTTTGATATGCATGGTTGTGTGATTCAATCTCAAAAACTCTATTTGTTTTGATATCATATTGAAGTGTGTGACCATCTCATTTAAAAATTTAAGTCAGAATTAAAGAACACATTTTTATCAGTTAATTATATTCTCTACATTCTTTTGATCTTTTCATACATTTACTCCTTTATATTTTAACCATTACTTTCAACAGTCTTCACTAGTAGAGTAGTACTACTAGTTACTAATGCCACACTTCAAAAGTTCAAATATGACACACTTGAAATCGATACAAATTTTTCACTAAGACACCTTAATTAAGCCCTATTTGATGTGAAAATCACGCAAATTGCTAAGTCAGTAAAAAGGAACAATCCAACGAAATCTTTCAATTTCTTATTCTGCTATGTTCAACTCTATGTATTCCTATTCGTAGAGTACATTGAATATATAGAAATAGCTATAACATAGTTTTTCTTATTCATATTAACAACTACTCTATGAGGAATGTTTTTATGCAATGCTAACGGCGTACAACTTGATGAAAATGTCTAAGTATAAATTCGTGTCAACTTTAGATCTCACCACATATATTCAATCATAAATTTTTGTTTTATGAAAACTTTAAAAAATCACAACTGTTTTAGTTGAGATTACCTTAATTGCTTTTAATGTGGAGCATTGAGAAGTGTGCAATAATAGGCTTTTTTTAGGTGCAAAGATCCTAGACTTATGTGTTATATATGTCCTCTGTGTTTCCCTTCTGGCTTTCTGCCACTCTACTCTTCTCTTATTCTACCTTAGCTTTCTATAAACATTTTTAACAAGCACCTTCCTTCTTTACTTCTTTGTTCCCTCCATTTCCCTGTTTGATTGGATACTTTTACCATTTTCCACCACTGCCCCAATAAAACAAAAAAGTACACATTTTTTTTTATATTTATGAAATGAAAGCATTTTAAGATACCCCCTCTTGGAGTTTCTTCAATGTTATAAGTTCTAGTTTGGCTTTAAACACTTTTCTTGCATAGTTGACAAAGTTTATTACTTTCAAGATTTTGTCAACCCAACTCACTTTCAAGCATTTTTTTGGGTTTTAAAGAGTGATGGGGGTCTTCAAGAACTTGTTTATGTGATAAAGTTGTTATCTTTGATCACTTTGTGTACTCATTTTCAAGAAATTTTAGCTTCAAAAGAGTGATGGGGGTCTTCAAGAACTTGTTTGTGTGACAAAGTTGTTTTCTTTTAACACTTTGTGAACTCATTGTGTGATAAAGTTGTTATCTTTGAACACTTTGTGTACTCATTTTCAAGAAAATTTAGCTAAGATAGGGGTCTTCAAGAATTCTAACTAGTTTGTCTATGTGACAAAGTTCTAAACTTTCAAGAATTTGTCAACTCATTTTCAAGAAACTTTTTTGTCTACAAAAAGTGATGAAGGGTTTCAAGAATTCAAGATTGTGTGTGTTAGTTATCTTCTTTCTCCTCCATTTTGGTGTTTGGTGCAATGGTGATACTGAAAACATGGGAGCTCAAATGGAGAAAAATGAGATAAATTCTCTTTACTCAACCATTCAAGGCTTTGTTGGTAAATGGTGGAATGGTTCAGATCTTTATCCAGATCCTTGTGGTTGGACTCCAATACAGGTAACACAAAAAAAATTACATAATTTTTTTCACTTTTTAGTTACTTTTCTGCCTTAAGGATTCTGTTAAGTAAAAAGGTAAAAAAAAAAAAAAAAAAAAAACTATCTTTTTTGTGCATATGGTTCTAATTGTCCTTTTATTATTTTGTGGTATACATGACAAGATATGACTTCTCATTGTATATAGATTGTTTTAAAGCTTTAAGTGGCAATTTTTTACTATGACATATAATCAAAGAAATTGATAGTATATTTGGAATGATAGCTAATTAGCCATAGAAGTTTGATGAACCAAACTTCAATAATGAATATCAGTACATTCTTGGCTTGTTTTGTTTAGCAGTTTTGACAGACCAACATAGACAGAATATGTTTTAAAACACAATGATAATACAGGACAGGACAGAGCTTATACTAAATATACTCCGTTCGTTTCAATTTGTTTGTCTGGTTTTGATTTGACACGTAGTTAAAGAATGTACCATAGTTTTCTTTAATCTTGTGGTTTTAAACATGTTATGTAGAAAGTACAAAAGATGCATTCTTTTTGGAACATACTAAAAACGGAAGTAAGACTAACAAATTGAAACGGAGAGAGTGAGAGTGATATAGTTGATGCATTATACTCATATTTCTGATTTGTTTTGTTTCTATTTCCTCTGTCCAGGGTGTATCTTGTGACCTGTTTGATGGTTTTTGGTATGTTACTGACTTAAACATTGGACCTATACATGATAATTCTCTAAGTTGTGCACCAAATGTGGAATTCAGCTCCAATCTGTTCACATTAAAGCACCTAAAATCTCTCACATTTTTCAATTGTTTCGTGTCGCCTCGCCATCATCCAACTTCAATCCCAACAGAGAGGTGGGAGTTTCTTGCTAGTAGTTTGGAGTCACTCGAGTTTCGATCAAATCCCGGTCTCATTGGCCAAATCCCAAGTACATTTGGTAGACTCATAAAGCTCCAATCTTTAGTACTAGTAGAAAATGGACTCTCTGGTGAAATGCCACAAAGTCTTGGGAATTTAGTGAACTTGAAAAGACTAGTTCTTGCTGGAAACAAACTCAACGGCGAAATCCCGGATACTTTTGGAAGGTTCACTCAACTTTTGATATGTGATTTAAGCAGAAACAAACTATCTGGTGTCTTGCCTAAACCATTATTTGGAGGTTTGATCTCACTTTTGAAACTTGATTTGAGTTACAACAACTTACAAGGCAAAATCCCACAAGAGATCTCACAATTGAAGAATTTAACACTTTTAGACCTTAGTAACAACAAGTTATCAAGTGGATTACCTAAGTCAATTCAAGAAATGACATGTTTGGAGGAGTTAGTCTTGTCAAACAACCCAATGGGTGGATTCTTGGATGTTCTTGATTGGTATAGCATGATAAAGTTAACAACTTTGGATTTGTCAAACATGAATTTGACAGGTGAGATACCTAAGTCTATAGTAGAGTTAAAAAAGTTAAGATTTTTGGGACTTAATGACAATAAACTCATTGGTAAAATCCCAAAGAATCTTGAAAATTTGCCTAATGTAAGTGCTATTTACCTATATGGTAACAATCTGACAGGTGAACTTCAATTCTCTCAATGGTTTTATAGGAAAATGGGAAGGAGATTTGGGGCATGGGGGAATCAAAATTTATGTTACACTTTTGGTTTGGTGTCAAGTGATGTTCCATTTGGGGTAAAACAGTGTCAACAAGAACTCAAGTTTGTTATTGATGTTGAGATGAACTCAAGTTTTGTGGATTTTCAATCTTCAATGGGATATTTGAATGATTGTGGGATTTGGAGATGTTTTGTAGTTGAACTATTCATGGTTATTCTACTATTGTTGAAATGAAAGGAATTTGACAATAGTGATTTACCCTTTTTTTTTTTTGATATTTTGTTGTTGTTTTACTTGAAATGTACCACACATTTTGGTTTGTCTTTTAACATATGAATGAATGAATGTACATATTTTACCCTTGTTGGACTTGGAAGAAATTTCATTGAATTGTGATGGATTTTTCAATAAGTGAAGAACAATAGAGGTATATTCCCTCCGTCTCAAATTATATGTCGCGGTCAAGGGTGTTCAGGGTTTGGTTATTGGTCAAAACTGAATCAAATCAATTTAATCGATTGTAAAATTATTGAAAACAAATCAAATCATATATAATATATATACATTTATCAACTTGGTTGTTGTTGATTTTGGTTTTGAGTTGGTTTGGTTATTCGATTATTAACGATACACGAAAATTTAAAAAATGCATGTTATGTAATGAAGTTGTTATAGTGAAATGTCGTTGTAATGAATGTTATATGATTTTGCTCAAGGTGGAGGTCAATTAGCTCAGTATTGTCACGAAACTGATAAATGCATAATATGTATTTACATATTAACTGTAGTAAATTGAATTAATTTGATATAACTACCTGATACATGTAAGTATTTTCCTCCCTTACACCTCTATTATTATATAGTGTTGAAATGAATTCAACTAATATTATAAAAGATGTGAAAAATTATATATTTTCAATTGCTTCGAAATATTTAGTCTTCCTTTATTTCTTACTTATCTCTAAATTTATACTCTCTCCATCTCAAATTATTATGGAGGTTTCGAAAAATAGTTTTTATTGGTACGGTAAATAAAACATAACGGACCAAGGTAACTAGTAACTGTTCATTTTTCTTACTCTAGGAACTATTTAGTTTTTTTACTTTTTACATTAGTTACCAAAGCAGACCAATGTCATAAAGCTCCAAAAATAAATAAATTATGTACACTTTTCTGCCGCATAAATGAATTGAGTCAAAAAATTTAACTTCAGTTTTTGTCATCTTTTTTTCTTACCTACCCTATCGAAACACGATCAATAATGTTTCCACTTATTCTCTAATCGTATTTAAAGTATGATAACAAACTTTTGATATTTTTACCTGAAGTTTGATTTGTCAAGTTAAAATTAATTCAACATTTTTACTTGAAGTTTGGCTCGCCATTTGCCAATGTCAAACATCCGACAATCGTGATTGAAGTTTAGTTTGTCAAGTTCAAACTTCAAACACGCATGTTTGATGATTTTGTTAGCTAGTCTAGTTTTGCGAGGGGTGGAATGTCTATTTTTTCTAGCTTCACCTCCCCTCTTTTTGAAGGATAAAGTCATGTTTATCTTTGCGTTATAATCGGAAGCTAAGGTCAAATCCTCTTATAACTTTCTTCCTGATTTATAACACCCCAGATGATCTGGGAAAACTTATACCAACAAAAAGAAGTTTGAACTATCAATCTTCATTCCTATCGATATTTTCAAGTTTTTCCAACATTTACTTATTTCAAACTCAATTTTCACATTCGAAATTCAAAACTCACTACTTCAACTTATAACAACAACAATTTTATCTAGCTAAACAATATGAATCTGAATTAATCAGGTCAATAGATTTTCGAACCTTAATACTAGTAGCTAGAAGATGCTATATAAGTTAGATGTGGCAGTACTATTTTGTTGGTGTTTAGCAAATACAAATCATTCTTGTTTATATTATGTAGATTTTCAACAGTCTGCACACACACACACACACATATAATATAGTGCATGCTGCATATATGGTACAATTTTTTTGAATTGTGGTCCTAACTAGATGATGATGATGAAAGGGAGGGACTATATGTATATAATGTACACTTTTTTCAAGATTAGATGAATTTAAAGATGTGTCAGCTTAGCTACCACACTGCTTCTTTGATCCAGGCTTATCTTGTTCTATAGTTTGTTTAGTGTTTGGTTGTAGTTATTTTGGATTTCGATTGATTTGAAGTTGTATCATATAAATTTCATTAAAGAAATAAGCGTTCAGGTCTTTTTCATTTTCATTATTTGAGTTTGATATTTTTTATGACGTACCCGTGATGATTATTATTTTTTCTATATTAATTTTTATGTGTTAGACTTCCGAATTTGGTGTTTCTAGCTAAAGATAACGAGATTTAATTATCTATTCAATCACGACTCGTGATGATTATTACTCTCTCTAATTCAATTTATGTGAGTACTTTCCTTTTTATTAGTCCGCTTTCAAAAAATATATACTATATATCATATTTTCTTATTTAGAAATTATTTAATTTTAAATGGTATATTTTACATATAATGAGATGAATGTAGTCATATTAATATGTATGTCTTGGTTTAGATTGCAAGTATAATTTTTTTTCTTTCTTCATTTAACTTTATGTCTAGTTAAGTATTGATATTCGGCTAGAAATATTATATATATTTTAAGTAGGGAGGTCAAATGAGCGAAGTGAACTAAATTTGATCATATGAAAATCGATTGAATCTATATATATATATATATATAAAGCTGAATCTTCAACCCGCTGATGTGGCATCCCCCAATGATCAAGAAATCTATTTATCTATTTTCTCATATTTTTGGAGGATTTTTTCTCTTATTTTCAAACCTAAATTGGTTCTAATTAGTTACTGTTTAATTTCCTCAATTTAAGACTATAATAATTAATGGGTTTAAATTAATTAAAGTTTAAGAAAGATAAAAGATACCGTTTAAAATTCCAATTCTTAATTGTAATTAGTAGCCCTTAACTGTTTCCTCAAATTAAGGCTATAATAATTGGAGAAATCGTTTACAATTCTAAATTCAGAATTAATGCTTTTCAACAACCAAAATATTAAGGTCCTATAAAATCATACTTCATTATTTAATTCCCATTTATCTTTTCTTTCTCTTTATAAATTTCTTTGGGTTTGATGATTTGCTAATACTATTCTAATAGTTAATAGAAAAGATGTCTAACTTTATATTGTCTAATTTGGCAGGAAGTTCAAAATGATTTGAAAAGATCTTCCCATGGAAATTATATCAATTTTTATGGAATATTGTGAAGGTGAGAACAACGTCTGAACTTTGGTTATCATGCAAAGTTACATTAATGTTCTTATAATTTATATTATTTTTTGGTTTTTTATATTGTATTTGGTATCCACATTGTAGCCTGATTATATATGGATTCACAATGCACAAGGCTCCATTTGGAGTGAGCACTTCCTACTAAAGAGTTTTTTCATACTCAAGATTCGACTAGACATCTGATTAAGAGAGTAACAGTCTCTTTCAATACACCTCATCTTTTCGTATTTGTTTATAAATTTCTGCCTCCGAATAAATGTAACTTTTTAGTTTTATTGTGAAACATATCTTAATTCATGCGTAGAGTATATACATAATATTTTCGTATTGTGAAGGTAGTTGATTACTAAATTGTTGATACTGTAATGTCAATCATTTTTAAAAATGGTATCTACACACCTCCATTACTTTTGCAGACTTGAATAGTCATCAACAAAAAAAATTACCAGTGACCTCTTTAATGTGTTCTATCTCTTCCCTTTTAATTTTGTATTTTTTTTCTATTTTATTTATTTGTTTAATATGTTAACTATTGACCTTTCTTTTCTAAAATTATTAACTAACGAGTAAATATGTTTGAATAGGATTCAGTTCCCCTCTTCATTATCTTTTCTCTCTATTTCATCAAGTATACATTTAGATAAGAGATATATGTCCTATTTAAATTTTAAAGGTAAAGATTATATTAAATAAATAAAATCATAATTATAATTAATTATTTAAAGATTATATTAAATAAATAAAATCATAATCATAATTAATTAAGTAAATAAGTTTTGAAAAGTACTTTTCAAATTCGGTAAGAAAATATTTCCTACAAATTTAGATACACATTGATATCATCTTATATTTTTATATTTTAAATATTTGAATATAGGCAGCTACTCTGTTTGGAGATAAAATAAATAAATCTTATATTATTGATATTTAAATATGTGGAAGCTGTTGTGTCAATGAAAAAAAAATTCAATTTTTCTTTTAAAAAAATAGAAATTCTTTTACCTTTTGTTTTACGTATGTATGTGAATCATAAGACATATTTTTCAAAAGATTACTATTTATCAGGCTAATTAAATTTACGTTCAACAATTTTGATATTTTGAATAATATAAAATTAAGATTAAATCAATGGTATTAATGAATCTTTAAAAATTGTGGAATTTTACCAATTTTGAAGAGTATTTTTCTAATTTTATTTACTTTATTATGGTTAGGAATGTAATATAATCTTGACCTATAAATATTAAATAGAACATGTCTTTCATCTAAAAGTATACTCTTGATGAAATGGAGAAAAAATATAATGAAGAGGAGCCGATCGGGTTCAATATAATTCATGTATTCTCTCTCATCATGATTTACCACAAATATATCTCTATTTTATTTATTTATTTATTTTTATTATAGTCATTTATACAAAAAAGAAAATCATGTACTCCCTCCGTCACATATTAGTTGATTACTTTTCTTTTTACGCGCAAATATTAAGAAATCATAAACAAAAAATCATATATCTTTATTTATTTATTTTTATTATATAGTCATTTATAAAAAAGAAAATTATGTACTCCCTCCGTCCCATATTAGTTGATGACTTTTCTTTTTACGTGCATATATTTAGAAATCATAATTAAGTGGGTAGTTTTACCAATTCACCCCGTAAGAACTTTTTTGAAACTTTACAAAACTCTTTAAAAAGGAATTAATTGCAAGGTAATTTGGAAAAAAAATCAATTAATGCTTTTTTGATTTATTAAGATGATCAACTAATGTGTGACAACTATTTTTAGTATAGTGATCAACTAATATGGGACATGAGGAATAATTTATGATCGAGTAGATTGTGATTGAACTAATAAGATTGCTATACTTTTTTAACTTTAATTAGTATGAAACTATGATGATTGAATTATCAATTAGCTGAAGTTTT